CTAAGTACCCTTTAACCATGAAAGCACATGATCAGAGCTATCGGTTTTGTGCTAGATCAAAATAATAGATCTAATCGGGCAACATTACCCCATAAAAGACATCAAATTTTACAGGTCTGAATGCTAGGGAAGATGCACGCATTTCAACTTGATCTTAGCTGTTAGATCACAATATATGCACAATTATACGATCTAGATTGATCAATTTTTTTCTATTCAAAATGAATTAAAAATTCAAATGCTCATAACTTTCTATAAACTCAGATAAATTGAAATAAATTTGAAATATAGATCCATGGTAACCTATTCTTACAATCCATTGAGCTTCGGGGCTCCATGCATTAACTTTTTAAAGTACTTTCAAATTAAAATTTAAATCATTAAAAGTATAAATACCTCTATATAGAAGATGGATTTCCTTGATTTTGTACTTTATGGACTCTTGTAGATGTCCTCTATAACTTCCTTGAAGACCCCAAGCTCTTATTTCTACTATATTATTGTTTGTGAATTATCACTCTCTCTCTCTCTCTCTCTTTATTTTCTCTCTCATCTCAAATATGAATTTTTTTATCTAAGCAAGGATGGGAAAGGCTATCAGGAAGCTTGGCAAGTTATTTGGAGCTTAGAGGAAGAAGAATGAGGGCTTGGGAGGTGGTGGGTAGAGAGTATTACTTTTATGTGTGTTTATGGAGTTTAATCCCCAATTGAAGCCCTAGAGCTGTCACGAAGGGCTGAGATTTTATTATAGGGTTCCGCTAATGTTTGCCACATGGTTGTTGTTATTGAGGGATAATCCTTTAGGTAAGTGAAGGATAATGCAAGGATAAGAAATTTGGAATAAAAAATTTTGGAGATTTGTGCACATGGATCCAAATTGTGCCAATGGGCTACATTGGTAGGTGACAAGGGGCATTTATAACTAGTATGGGATAAGATGGCATTACGTCCATGAATTTTGTACTCTTTGGAGGTTTGGGTTAACCCAATTGTGTCACCTAGGTCGACCCATGGGTTGGGCTTGTTGGGTTAGATGTGATAGGTAAAGGAACACCTACCACAACCATTGGTTCAACTTAATTTAATAAGATTGGGGATCCAGCTCAAGAGAATCACCTTGGGTCCACTTGGTTCAACCAATTTAGCTAAACTAGGTGGGCCCTTAGACTGGAACTTTTGAGTCTCAAAGTGACCCCATGGATTGTCCCCGTGAGTTTGGTTAAATGATTTTGTCAAAATTGTTTGATTTAAATTTTTTCAGCTCTTAGGTATATTTTAATCAACTCATGAGTACACTTGGTAAACTAGACTTGGCCTTAGGTCAATATAGGGCCAATCAATTTCAAATGACATTTTCAATTTGTTGGAAATGGTTTGAGGATTTGGTGGAATTTACACACATGAAATGAAATTTGAAAGGGTTAAAGGGCATTTTTGTCAACCTGGTTAACTTGTACAATCATGTTTGACCATGGTTTAGGGTTTAGTTCAGTGCACTTTGATGAATATTTGAAATGTGCTAGAAGTGGTTTTAGGGTTTTGTTTGGCTAAGCTACGTTGAAGTTTGAGGACAATTTAGTTTTAATAGGTTTCAGGGTTTTAGGGACTTCAATAACTTATGGTCAACCATGGTTTGAAGATATTCTTTATTATAGGCCAAAGGGTGTTTTGATTTGCATTTAAATTATATTAATTCTATTTAAGAACATTAATTGCTAATTTTATCGTTAAAGAATAATGTTAGGTAATGAGTAAAAGTCTCTTACCTGGAAGTCCTAAGTCTCATAAATATATTGTATTCTTTCTGCAATATAATATAGAATGATTTGAAATAGTTCTTAAAGTTTTTTTAAATATTTTGAATAACAATTTAGCAGATGTGTACGCAAGGGATATGACTTTTTGAGTTACCCAAGTCAAGTCACTTTGGGATGACACACACCTTCTTTGGGTTCATCATAGGCATAACACGTAGTGAGATTGGATGTTTGGAGAGTTTTGAATAGTTGTAATTAGTATTTTGACAATTTATAGGTAGAGTGGTCCAAGTTATGATTTGACTCGGCCAGATTGACCAAACATGTTCAATTTATGAAGAGTAAATTTTAAATTGATTTGGTGAAGTTTAGAGGAGAATTAAGGTTTATAATAGTTTAATTAAGGGTCTTGATTAGTTGGGTGTGTTCAATTAAAAGCTCTTTATTTTTTAAAGCCAATGCAATTAAATGCATTAAAACCGAAGAAAAAACCAAATACAACCTACTCAAGTCATATCTAAAGCCTTACATTCCTCCTTCAAACAATACAAGAAAGGAGGAATGAAATCACAATGAAGATCTTCCCACAAAAAAGATCTCTCTAAAGACAAATTAGCACAAATATCTGCTAATTTGTTATCAAGTCTACTAGAACACGAGAAAACAATCTTCTTAAAATCAATTAAAAAGGCCAAATTCTCTTCAATTACTTTACTAACCTTCCATATTTTGATCGCATTTTGAAGCACTTTAATGATATTGAGGTTGTCCCCTTCAATGATAACACCTTGTGCTTCGAACATCCAATCTTGCATCACATTTTTCAGGTATAAAACTGCAATTAACTCTGTTTGAGCCGCATCCCATTGTAGAAGTTGATTACCGAAAGCTAGTAGAAACCGTCCTTTAATCTCTAGCAACCCCACCAATTCTGTATTGTTCTTCATTATAGCAGCATCTACATTCATTTTAATCCACCCGGGAGGTGGGGGATGCCAATGATAAGACAACAAATGCTGGTTAGCATCCTAGTAATCCGGTTGGAAATTTAAAAAATTACTTCTAACAGCATAAGAGATAGCATTGGTCGCAATTGAATTATCAGTTTCCTTCTTGTCTCCGTGAACCAATCTGCACATACTCTTCCATACCAACCACCTAACTGTACAGAAAATGTTTGCAGCGAGTGCTTTACTCCCTACAAACCTCTGAAGTCCTTCCAAACAATCAGCAAAGTAGTCAAAAACTGGAACCTGAAAGCCCCAGTTATTTAATAATGAAACCACATTTCGGAATTTAGAGCACTTCCCCACCATATGGTTGTTATCCTCTACAACTTCACAACCCCTCGGGCATCCAGAGAAATAGCTAAGTCTTCTATTCACAAGAAATGAGTTAGAGGGAATGACATTATTATACATTCTCCACCAAAAAAGTTCAATTTTTTGATTCAATTTAAACTTCTTCATCCAATTCCAATGAGCAATTCATTCTTCCTGATCCACGGCAACTGCAGATGTTAGAGATGTAATGGATTTCCCATAAAACTTGCTTATAAGCTCCAATTGATCAGATGCCCTACATTCCACTATCGGAGTTTTTAAGTTGAGTTTTATGAGCTGCTCTCCAAATACCTCTTTCAGCATATCCAACTTTCACTGACCTTCAAAAATAAAGGAGCTGAGATTGAACTCTGTGTAATCCTGAAGATTAACATATGTAGGCCATTTAGCAATACATTTGTTCAAGATCCAAGTATCATACAACCAATTTATCAAATCTCCAATATAAACGCTCCATCTCACCACATTTCTAAGATATTTAGCCCCCATTGTAATGATCTTCCAAGTAGGAGATCAACCTGTCTTTATCGGGGAAGACCACACATCATCCACATATTTAGCTCTCATAACCTGATTCAACAAAGAGTCCGGTTTAATGCAAAAATTCCAAGCAAACCTTGCTCGGAGTGGACCAACCTTAGTAACTGTAGAAAACAGTCCTCAGCGACCTTCACATTTTGATTTACACAGTAACTCCCATGATGCATAATGAATACCAAAATTACCATTATTCTTACTCCATAAGAACCCCCTACACATCTTATCAAATTCCTATAAAATGCTCAAAGGAATAAGAGAGAGAGAAGATAAAAACAAAGGTAATGATAAGAAGGCAGATTTAACAAGGACCAATCTACCTTCCAGCGAAATGCATCTCTTTCCCCAAGTATTCAATTTACTAGTAGCTGACTCCAGTAAACTCTGGAAATCTGAAGTTCTCAGTCTTCTTAAAGCCATCTTCACCCCAAGGTAGCTGATTTCTGTAACCTGCTTAAACTTCAGAATTTTACCTACAACCTTCTGACTTCATTTCTTTGTATGATTTCCAAAGATAATCATGGATTTGGATTCATTAACTCTCTGCCCCATCCACTTACAATAATTAGAGATAATCCGCTTCAAATCTTTCACCTCCTTTAACTTGGCCTCCGAGAATAATAAGACGTCATCCGCATAGAGTAAGTGAGAAACTTTAGGAGCTAGCCGAGAAATAGAAACTCCCTTCCCACTCCTTACATTTAAAGCATCAGAAAAAAATTTGAGAGCATAAAATGAATAAAAATGGGGATAAAGGGCATCCTTGCCTAAATCCACATTTTCCTTCAATCCAACCATATTTCATCCCATTAATCAAAATACAGTAGTTGGGGTAAAGAACACACTGCAATAAAAGCTCTATAAATTTGACATGAAAGTTGAACTGATAGAGAACTTGCCTCAAGGTCAACCAACTCATGCTATCAAAAGCCTGCTCCATGTCCAGCTTAATTGCAAGCAAACCATTTTTAGATTTGGACCATCTGAACTTGTTAAAAACCTCTTGAGCCAAAAGTACATGATCAGACAATGTACGGCCTCTAACAAATGCCGCTTGATCCACGGAAATGATCTTATGAATAACCTTTTCCAACCTATTTAAAATCATTTTAGCAATGATTTTATATATAGTCATACAAAGACTAATAGGCCAGAAGTTGGCAGGTTCTTGTGGACTCTTAATTTTTGGAATTAAGACAATCAAAGTCTCTTTCCATGATTTATCCATCACACATGATGTCAAGAAATGTAAGGCCGCATTCCACACATCATCTTTGATCACACTCCAAAAGTCTTTGAAGAAAGAGAAGGTCACCCCGTCCAATTCCAGAGAAATACTCCTCTCGGACTTCTCCACAACCAGCTATAATTCTTCCATGGTTAGCTCAGCATCAAGCATAGTTTGGTCAACATTACTAATGATAGCAGATGGATTCGGCCACCCATCCAATGAACATTTTCTTTGTTGCCATTTCAACTTGAAAAAATCTGAGAAAGTTTCCTGAATCACCGCTTCATCCTCCAAAACTACACCCTCCACCATTTTGATATGATGGATCGAGTTATTACTCCTTTGTGCATTTGCAAACGCATGAAAAAAAGATGAATTACAGTCACCTTCCTCCATCCACCTTACCTTAGCCCGCTGCTTCCACCACGTGTTGAGCTGAGCCAAAGTAATGTTAAGTTCATTGATTTTAGATCTTAACAGTTGCAGTCTGTTAGAGGAAATCCAGCCTTTCGCTTCTTCTAACTGAATCTCCAGAATTTCTGTCTTCAAACTGTCTCTTAACAGAGAAAAATTCCTGTGCTTCACTTTACTCCAAAAAAATAGAGCCCTTAGAGCTCTTTTACACTTTAAATTGAGAATAGAAGTCGGGTCACCTTTGCAGTTCTTAGCCCAAATCTTCCTTACCAATGTAGCTGCACCATGATAAGAAGCCCAAACTTCTTCATATCTAATATTCCTCTTAATGTATTCCACCGGTTTGAAGATATCCAACAGGATCGGACAATGGTCCGAAGCAATGCGAGGTAGGTGCTTAACGAGAGCAAGATGAATACTGTTTAAAGCCGAGGAGTTAATAAGGCATATGTCTAACTTCTCTAAGATACGAGCACTGCCGGATTTATTATTACACCAAGTGAACCTTGGTCCCATAGATTTAACCTCATGAAGATCGTTGTTGGTCAAGAAACTATGAAAATCCTTGGAACCTTGAGTCAAGCTGAATTTCTTCCCTCCTCTTTTCTCCTCTTGAGAAATAATATAGTTGAAATCTCCTCCTATCGTCAACGGAAAATTATCTGAACAAAGCCTTCAAAGACTGTCCCAAAGTAACTTCCTTTCTTTAGCCTCCGTACTGCCATACACCGAAGCCACTAACCAGCAACCTTTACCGAAGACCTTCAAATTACCCACCACCATTTGGGAAGAAGTCTCAATAATTGAAAATCAGCTAAATCATTCCTCCATAACACCATTAAACCCCCTGAAAGTCCAACCGCAGGCACCATAGAAAAACTCCACTTATCGCCCAAAAGCTTCAAAATATGATTACTATCTAAGGAATTAATCTTCGTCTCCAAAAACCAAATAAAGAAAACCCTGTGATCCTTGATCACATCCTTGAGATATAGAGCAGCCTCAACTTTCTTGGCTCCTCTAAAATTCCAAAAAAGTAAAGCAGTCATTGTTTAAAGATGAGGGAAGGACCCCCAACCTTTTTCATTTTTCCACTTTCCCCTTTTCTACTATGAGGAATGATATTACCAGAACCAAGGGATTTCAGCTCTTTGATTAATTTAGCTTTCGTTTCAAAAGAATGGCTCCCAACCAAGTTTGAATTAACCAAAGACTGATCCTTCTCCGTCTTCATTAAAATCTCTGATTGTCACTTCTCACTCCTATCCTCAAAACAGAGGCTGTCTCCTACAGGTGAACGAAGGATTTCACCTTCCTCAATACCTCCACCAGCATCAATATCTAAAGCCATCATACTACCCTCCTCCTCCAAATTGGATAAAGAACCAAATTTATTCTGAACCATAACCGCAGAATCCACGTCAGTTACATCATTATGTATGACTTCTAGAATTATTACCACATTAGCAATCTCATTCTCCATCTCTTCATTAAACACCTTCTCAGGCAACTGAGAGTCTTCAACGGCCACATCCTGCTTATTAATCAGATTAATAACATTCAAAGCAATTAACTTTTTCTGGTTATGAATTCCAATTTTAGGGACATACATCTTCTTCAATTTGATCGAAAATCTTTTCGTAAAAAATTTTCGGTTGTCCGTGAATATGTTCATTCTCTTCTTCCCATGCTTAACAATAGTCCATGAATTATCATCTACCTTACCTTTCACCAAAAGATTATTAGCACCATTCAAAGGAGGATCTCGTCCACCGTTCATCATAGCAGTTGGAATCTTGAAAGAGCCAGACTCCACCTTTTCCTTCAGCTCCGCACAAGCATTTACAACTTGCCCAACTTTACCACATTCACTACATATTTTAGAAATCCCTTCATATTCTACCTTCTGAAAAAACTTCCCTGTCAAACCTTCCACCCACACACCCTGAGGTAATTTCAAATCCAGAGGAATGCACACACAAACTCGAGCGTACTCCCTTCTACTCCATTGAAATAAGTTCCCATCCAAAAGATACGGTTTGCCTACCAAAGAAGCAATTCTACAAATGTTGACCTCATCCCAACATTGCAGTGGAAGGTTAGGCAACCTAATCCACACCGGAGAAGAGATTCCTTTAAGAGAAGTCGGGTTAAAATTAACTGACCATTTATCCAAACCAACCACTTGGCCTCTAACCCACCAACACCCACCTGAAAGAACATTCTCAACAGCTGAAGAATCTTCGAAAGAACACAAAATCCAGCCGAGACCCAATCCAGTTATGTGGAATTTCCCATACTTATTCCACTGTCTTCTCAAATCAGTGGTCACAACATTGACAGGAATATTATCTCCAAAAGTCTTAACAACTACAGCCTTTTCAAGCCTTTTTGCATTTTCCACTTCCTTTTTCGCTTGTAGGAACACCACCTTCCCATCATCAGATAAAAAAGAGCCCAGCTCTAGATTCTCCACCTTCACATACGGTTTCTTCACCCAAGCCGATTGAACCCGCACCTTGTTATCCTTACACTCTTCTGAAGTAAAATCAATAAGGATAGATTTGAGACATTCTTCTCGAATGACATTACTCCTTTTAAGAGACAAAACTTCATCCACCTTGCTTTCATCCCGAGAATTGAGACTCACCAGATCAGAACTCAAAACGTCTGTAAACCACCAGAAGATGAGGCTTCAAACTTCCGCGTTCCAACAGACTTAGCATCACCATACGGAATTCGCGAGACCTCTGAAAACCTCTGACCTTCTACCTTGACTACATCCTTACCTTTACCAGGCACCAGAACGGGTAATTCCATTTTACCCAACAGCCCACCTTCCTTAATGGTTAATGGCCTCTCTATAAAACATTTGAAATTCAGATTGAACCCATCTAGGACTTTCGATCCCCCATTGAAAACTTCTGAAGAATCAAGAATCGATACAGCCAAGCCTTTCCTATATTTCTTCCAAGCTTCCGAGGGGAGGAGACGACGCTGCTCCATGAGCGTCCCTCCGATTTGCCGGAGAACTGGCCGAACGCCAGGCTGCACCCGCCGCAAAACGCAATAACCGCCAAAACAGAAATTTGAATTCCCAGAGTTTCTCTCACTAACTTTCTCTCACTAACTTTCTCTCACTCCACCCCAAAGGTCCAATTAAAAGATCTTGGAATCCCAAATCTAGCAAAAATATTTTTCATAAAAAATTTTATAGCTACTCAAGCATCATTTTTGGGCACAACCACTCCTTCAATCAATTTTAGCATATTTTTTACTTCAATCAATATATATTAACTTTCAAAAAGATATAACTTGTTAAAACTTGGAGGTAGTCCTGTATCCTCCATATTTCCCTATAAAATTAGAGTAATGAGACTAAAAAATAATGTTATTAGTCTCCTCTATGGGGAAACATCACTTAATTTTTTTATTCTTACATCTCATATACATGTATGCCTCTTCTTAAAAATAGAATCAAGCACCATGAAAAGTTTTTTTCCTTTGATTGAGGCATAATTATATGTTCTATTAGCATAGTAAAAGATATGAAACTTCATATCCATCTTTTGCCCTAATATTGCTCCTACAACAAAGTCACCAACATTGCACTAAATAAAAATTAAGTGACAAATCAATCACAATAATAATTGGAATTATAATTAAATTCTTTTTCAGGGTCTCAACTGCTTTTATTGAAATTAAATAAGCATCTTTTTCTAATAAGTGACAAAAAGCCTTATGTTTTTAAAAAGAAAATCTCTAATGAATCTCTTATAAAATCTAGCATACTTAGAAAACATTTTACACCTTTAACAGAGTTAGGTGGTGATAAATTTTCTATAACTTAATTTTTTTTTTCTTTATCCACCTCCAAACCATTTTTAAAAATAGTTATGGCATAATATACTGCCTTTTTGATACCATGAATTAACAATTTTTCTAATTCAATCTTTAATTTGATTCTTCATAAAGTCTCAAAATAACAACTAGGTCCTCAAGATAATAGTCAAATGAAGTACCAAATTTAAAAAAATCATCCATAAAAATCTCAATGCTTTGCTTAGCCAAGTATAAAAAAATAGACATCATGCACCATTGAAATGATGATGGAGTTAAGCACTGTCTAAAAGGAATTCTATGAAAAGTGAATGTATCATATTGGCTAGTAAAAGAGATTATGTCCTAATCGTTAGGTGATTCTTGAATATGATGATAAACTAAGCAGCCTTCTAAAAAGAAATAGAATTGATTTTCTATGAATCTATCAAGCATTTGTCAATCAAGTACAAGGTAAAATAATCCTTCCTAGTTGGCTTAGGTAGTTTCCTATATTTAATACAAATTCTATATCCTATGACTATTTTTTTTTTATAACCTCATTCTTTTTATTAGTCACTATCACTTATTAGGCACATAATGAGTAGGGCTAACTAAATTAATGTTAGGAATAAGATATATAATTTTTACATCTATCCACTTGAGTATCTTTTTCTTAACTACTTCCTTAATAGTAGGGTTCAATCATCTTTGAGGATTATATTTTGGTTAGGAGTCTTCTTCCATTAAAATTTTGTTTATGCGCAAAGATGGACTAATCCCTTGCATTATAGGTATCACCCAATTTTCTGTCTTCAAAATTAGCAAAAATAATGACAAGTAAGGTCCACTCATATCTTAAAAACACATACTTTAATTGGTGTGGTAGAGCTTTCAACTATAAGAGAGGTGCTTCAATGATCATAAGTTTCATTGATTTTCCAAAGAGAGATGTGTCTAAAGTTCAATGCCTCTCCCTAAAACTATATGGGTACCATAAAATAGGTAAGTAGTATCTCTACTAATCACCCCTAAGTAATCCTTAATCAAATAATTTTCTAACACCACATTAGTCAATATCTCTTCCATTGTCTCATAGACACAACTCTCTAGGGAAAAAATTGTATAGTACTGATATTGACTATGATCCTTAAAGAACTAAATAGATTTAAAAACATTAAAGGTCACTTATCAATCCTATAATTGTGATTTCAATTCACCCTTCTATATATCATTTATTTCCCTCCCTGTGGGTAGAATATATCTTTGTAAAATGATTAGGATCTCTTTATCTTCTTCCATATTTATCAATATAAAATCTTTTGAGAAGATAAACTTACTTACTTTTACTAATACAACCTCAATAACCCCTTAGGGTAAATAATAGAATAGTATTCTAACTAAATGGTTATAGTTGTAGATTATACCTCACCTAAATCTACTCTTCTAAAGATAAAAATGGGCATAATATTGATATTTGCTTCTAAATAACATAGTAAATCTTCACTGAATTTATCTCCTATAGCTCAAGGAATGTTAAAGTTACCATGTCCTTTAAAGTTTGTGGAAGTTTCTTTCGTAAAATGTTAATACACTTTTAGAGAGAGTAATAATCTCAAAATAACCTAACTTCATTTTCTTACTAAGGATGATCTTCATAAATATGTCTTAACTAAGCATTTACTTTAAAGCTTCTA